ATTGCTATAGGGCACAAACACTTGCAGGAGAGATGGAGACAGAGAGACAGAAAGCAAGAAATCATCCCCCAGGGGAGATGGCCATGCCGCATTCCTTCTCCTTTCTCCTCTTAGGATTTTGAGTATGCATGCACATGTGCCTGGTGTGAGTTTACACAGCTAGGTCTTGGACTCTAACTGTGGTCGACTATGTGAGTCTATCAACATAACCATTACACTACCTGTTTGTCCTGTGCTTATCAAGCTTTAAGACTCACTTTCCCAACTGGGGAGTTATAATAAAATTTTTTCCAAATCATTTCTCAGTTGTGTATTCTTCAGGATGACCAGGGAAGGAGGTACCATACTAATAGACAGATTTGTGTTTATAAATGCATGTTTAGTGTATGTTTATAACTTAGGGGGAAAAAAAGCCTCATGAAGAACTGAAGTCTAACATAGAGATCATATTAAAAATTTAAATTATACTATTTTTACAGGACAACTATTTGTTTACTCTGTAAATTTTTATAGACTTTGATCAAATTCATTGGTACTTCAAAGAATTGACCAATGCACTAGCTCCCAGGTATGAAATTCAAAGCTTCTGAAATCCAAAGATATTTGTCAAAGATAGGTCCACTGATGTTTCTAACAAAACAGAATAGCTATGCTACTTGAAAAGCAATATTGGAATAAATAGAAATAAACATATCACAATTTTAAGTGTTCTAGCCTATATGTGACACAGGTAGGTAACTGTTAAACTGTGTTGTGGTCTAGATAAGTCCTATACAAGACCCTTCAATCATGACCCAACCCAGGGACTCCAAATACATGTTTTTAAACCAACAACAGTATTTTCTTTGTAATCTTGGGGCAACTTTCTGGCTCTTATCTTACTGACATTTTATTGATAAACAGAGAGGGGGAATGAGATATTCAGCCTCTAGAGAAATGACTTTTTGGTGCATTTTGTTGTTGTTAAAAGGCACAAACTGTTCATTTTTGCTCAACAAGCACATTTAATTTGAAGCCTCTTGGTTCTGATCAGATTTAGGACAATCAATAAAGATTCCTACTGGGCAATAAATCTAGGGCTGCAATCTGCCACCCGTCTGCCCTCTGCACAGAACTCATCCAGCTCTTCCTAAGGGCAACATTGCTCATCTCGACCATCCTGTTAGCTCTGGAATTATGCAGAAAAGTCATAGCATGGAAACTCAGCCATTTCTGGCTTTAGCCTTTGGGGAACTTCTTGCTTTCTCTTACTGACCAAATGTCTCTGGAAAGAAAATGTTCAAATGATGACTTTATGTGTTCATCAGAACAGTGAATCCCTAGAAATATGGCAAATGTAGTCAACACCCTTCTTGAGAATATATGAAGAACCAGGAAAAGTCTGAAATGCCAAGTATACCATTACTGCTTTTAGGAAAATGCTCTTTCTGATATCACAGAATGTGACCTTCGTTGCCACATGGCACATAGAAAGCTAGGCAGACTATTCAAGCATTCCAAAGCTCTGACTCTCTGTTTGTGTGTTTTTTTTCCCCCTCTCTCTCTTTGTTACTATTCCAGAGTGGCTATGTATTGCCTGGGGCTAGCTTGTTTGATCTGTGGGTACAGAAACAAACAAAGCCATTTAAACCAAATGTAAAAGGTTATGAAGAGGAAGGGAGAGTTAGTGAGGTCTGAGCAAAGAGTGAAATATAGGCTTTCACACCAAAGGAAGGCTTTAAATTGAACATGACTTCAGGAAAAATCAATTTGCCTTTTCCTTTCTTGTCATAATTTCTCCCTGCAACCCGATTCTTGCCAATTACTGAAGGGTGTTCCGTTGCATAAACTCTTGCACAGCAAAGTTTACCCTACAGAGTAATCACATAATGGAGCATTTGTGATGTCACAATTGGTTTCCATGGTGATGAGAGAACTGAGAAGAAGAAGAAAAGAGGAGAGAAATATCACACCAGTAACATGACAATCATTTTGGTAGCAGTGGAAATGCTACTTGTAAAACCATTTTAGCTCCAGGGTCTTAGATCTATCACTGAGATGACTGAGCAGTGATTGATTGGGGAGATGAACAGAAGAATGCAAGCTATTCACAAGTCAGGTGTTTGTTCAGACATACAATCTTGTAGCCACTGTTAAAGAGAACAGCAAAAGAATCAACAAGCAGGCAAACACAAACATTAATTTTTTTTTAAAGGACACAAACTGAAAAGCTACAGTTTTCTTCTGTCATCTTCCTACCTGATCTGCCATCTCTCTGAATATCCACGTGGTACCATTCTCCATCATTGGCTTTCTTCTGAGTGGCTTTCACTTTGATGGTGCCTGAGCCCATATCAAGCAGCAAATACAGGTTGCCATCCAGAAGTTCCACAGCAAAGAAGTCTACCTTTGTGTTCTTTTGGCTCCGAGCATCCTTCCTCTCTTGGGGCTTTCCATGAGTGAAAAGGATCAGACCATTGGGTTCAGTGGTACGGAAGTCAAAGGAAATGGAGCCCATACGTTTCGTGTTCCACTTGGGCAAGCTGATGTAAGCTTCTGGGGTCTCAAAGTTGATGGGGTCTAGTGTGGCCACATTTTCACACTTGAACACAACTTCACCATAGATTTTCATCTTGGTGTCCCCAATCCGGGCCAGGCGAGACAGTTCCAGACGGATGTCATTATTCTTATAAACAACCTGTCAACATCCAAACAAAAGTGCCATATGAATCAATCTTGCAAACAGTATTTGTCGATCAATCACTGGGCATCCTGGAAGACTAAGGTCCAATGAGAGGCTACAGGACATAAGAGTCTGAAACGACATGAGACACACAAGACACCACACTAAAGAAAGCTTCTGAAGAAACATCTAGGGTACACACAAGTTCTGGATGAACCTCCATATTTCCATTACGTTCCTTCTACATCTCTCTTTCTGGCCAATTTCTTGGTTGTCAGAAAGTTATACAATATGAGTTTATAAGCAGAAGTCAAGAACTTGAGTTGCACAGATGCAAATACTTATCTAAAAAGATAGTTATTGAAGCATTTTGAGTTTGTGAAAGACCAGAAACAACCTAAGTGGCAATCAATACCAGACAGCTCATTTTTGCAATGAAATATCAGTCCTTAACAATGCAATATTGCTTTTGGTTTTGTCATGGAGGCTTTCTAAGTCACATTGTTAAGTGAAATCAGAAAGGAACAGGACAGAGTGTGCATTATGCTATCATTTTGTAAAAGTCAGTGTGTGGAGGAGAAGGTTTTATGTATACAAGCTCATATAAGCATAACATATCTTAGAAGGAAACACAAGCTACCATGAAACTGTCACTGGAGAATAGATTTGCATTAATAGTCAGGAATGGGAGAGAGTATTCTCTTCTAATATTTGTTTTCTTTTACCATATGGATATATTACTTTGACAAAATGATTGAATGTTAAAGTCAATGGGGAGGGGCACAGCAATGGCAGAGTGGTAATGCAACTAGACCCCCATGGAAAGGATCCAGGGTTCATGTCCCAGGACTTCCCTGTAATCCAGGCCAGCTAAGACTAGAGGGAGGCAGGTGGATTGTTACATGAAGACTCTTTTTGGAGTACCTGTCTCTCTGTCTCTATCTCTTGTGGAAAAAAAACACATAAACTTTAAAAACAGTTTAAGAAAAAAATCAATGGGGAAATGATGGGGTATGTATTTTTTACACATTACTAGTACCCTGTGTATAGTGGTAGAATGAGACACCCTAAATTCTAGTTCAGTCAGATACTCAGCTATATTTATTTAATTGAAGATCTGACTTTACTGAACTAGATACTAATTTGCCTTATAAGGGAGTCCTCCTGTCTCCAAGCTCTACACAAGTTACTAGTCATTTCCTCATGGCTTTGTCCATTGCCCTGCACAGAATAGAAGGGTAGGTGAGGAAGGGGAAGGGAGTTTAAAACTTCATTATTACTTTCTAAACCTCATGAATCAATTTAGAGTCATAGACTCTTGTGTTCCCCAAAATTAGAATTTCAAAAATATTTTACTCTTATTAGAACTGAATTTTGATGTCGTGTTCTGGGACTGATTTTAGTACTCCGATCTCTGAATAATGTCACATCTACACAACAATAATAAAAATAAAAAAAACTGGAAGGGAAAGGGACTTATGTTGGTATATTAACCATGCCCACCACTCTGTTATTTCTTTTACATTATCTTATCCAAATGCCAAGTTTGAACCCAGATTTAGGTTTGAATCCAATCTCTACTACTTACAAGCCATGTGACCTTGGCAAAGTACCTTCTCTGGATCTATTTCCTCCTCTGAAAAATGTGAGTATAGTAGTAAACTATATGTAAGGATAAAAAGGATAAAGCACTTAGAAATGACATACAGAAAGGACACAAAATTCTCATATTTGGTAGTTTTGGTTATTTTTAAATTTCATTTTATCCTTTCCACAGTGCTAAGAAGGGTGTAGTATAATCTCCATTTTCCAGTAAAACAGTAAGGTTTAAGTGCAAAAATAAACCTTACAATTCATATCTGTAAGAGAAAGTTAGTTGGATGGGACATTCTAGTACATGTCTCTTAATCCTTAACATCCAATAGAACTATTTCCTTTCTCTCTCCCATCACCAGGAAAAAAAATCAAGCAGTTCTATTTGCCTTTTAATAGGTATCACAAGAGTGACATGTTAACTAGGACAAAGTATTGGAAACGTGACACCACTTCTGTAATCTTGACCATGGCCCTAGCATGGTCAATAACATTGAAAATACTAAAACTTACTGAACACCAGCAGGTGGTAAGGATTTAACATCCTCCAGGCCTATTCAGTCCTAACAACACCCATTTGAGGTACCTAAGCATTCCCTCATTTCATAGATGCAGAAATAGACACAGTCATAAAGGAACTGCCCACAGGCACACAGCTGGCAAGTGACAAAGCAGGACCCGAGCCCAGGCAATTGGCTGCTGAGTCCATGAGCTTCACCCCTGTAAACACTTAGAACTAGGCCCCCTAGCAGCATTCATAAAGCACATCTGTAACATTATCTAGAAATTCATGCATTCGCAACTTCTTAATTTAAAAGCTGAGTTTCTCATTTTAGCTCAACTAGACTGGCCATGTGCAAAGGGAAATACTATAAGATCCTTAGGCAATCATTTAAATGAGTGAACAAAAAAATGATGAAAGTTTAATGACTGGCAGCTCCTCCTTTACAACTCCCATTATTATGCCTCAGCATGTGAGATCTCTGTGTCATAACCAAACTTCAACTTTTTTCTGCATTTGGGTTAAATGCCTACAATTAGAGCTCCTTGTAAAGGTTAATTATTAATCTATAACAATAGCACATCTCAAAGGGACAGACTAAGGCTTCATTCCATTGAAGAATAAATGGAAAGAGAGCTCAGGCTTCTCTATAAGAGACCAGGAAAAAAATAAAAAGGACTCTTTAAGATGCTGTGAAGATGAACTCTTCTGTCAGATGGGTACTTAGCTACCCTTCTAACAAGACTGAAAAAAAAAAAGATAGATAACCAGAATGCAGACTTCTGGAAAGATGGTTCAGAGAATCAAGATTGGCAAAAAGTAACCAAACAGAGATAACCAGTCTTCCCTCAAACTCTTTTTTCTTTTCTTTTTTTTGGAGAGGTTTTTGCTATAGGGCGCGTGTGCTCGCCAGACAGACAGAGAGAGACAGAGAGCTAGAAAGCGAGAAATCACCCCCCAGGGGGGATGGCCACACTGCAGTCCCTTCTCTTCCATTCTCCTCTTGGGATCTTGGGCATGCACACACACGCACCCGGCATGAGTTTAAGCCACTGGGTCCAGGACGGGAACTGGGGTCGACTACGTGGGAGTCCAGTGACATAGCCATTATGCTAACTGCTGGTCCCTTCCCTCAAACTCTTTGAAGATGGACTCTCTATCTACTTCATCGTTCTGAAATTGTCTACTTGCACACAGTGTCCACATGGTGAGAAAACAGCTAACACCATTCTCACTGATGGCTGGGTAACCTGAGTCCCATTTTATTCATTTCCAAAGGTGAAAGTCTCAAATACATGTCCATGATATTGAGATTGTCTACCTTCATGGTTGTTGTCAAGATCAAGTGGGATGGCACATGTTGTAGAACACAGGAAAATTCTTTATTGGACACAACTTAGGAAAAAAGTAATAGAATATCTTCATATCCTACAGTGTTGGGGTTCTGTTAAAAACTTGCAAGGCTCTGAACTACGGTTTCATGAAGGACCTCCTACCAAAAAGAAGGGGACAAGAGAGCATGAGTATCTTGTGATACTCAACTGAGAATCTCCATTGCTGTCATCCTCACCTTCCCCACCTACCCACTTTGTGAAAGACCACAGCTATGGCCACATGCGGAGTTGTATTGGCACCTTGGGTAAGTTTGCAAGGTCTGGGGGCAGGAAGCCCTGCTGGATTCCTTTATAAGGCAAATTAGTATCTGGCAATGTTTTCTGCAAAATCAGACTCAACTAAATCAGTGTCCCCAACTGACTGAACAAGGAAGAGATGTGGCATCAAGTGACAGAAAGCAGCCTTGGCTGACAAGTCACCCTGAGGAAGAACAATTAAAAACAAAGTAGAAATGGCTCCCTGTGGGGAAAGATGTCATATAGCCTGGGAGGCATGGAAGCAAAGTCACAAAGAGTGACAAGCTGGTCTTCCTATTCCACTCATAAGCTTGTAAAGACTGCTGTTTGGACTTGTAACTCATGCTTGGGAGATCAGACGGTAAAACAGTTGAAGTCAAAGTCTCAGTTAAGACAAAGTCTCTCAGAACAGATATACTTGTATTCCTTCATGATCCTCAATATAGAGACACACAGAAGTAATACCAGGAGTCAGTCAAGGTATAAGAGGAAGAACAATCTAATAAAAATCGTAACCATCTATTGAGAGTCTTGGGACTAGCAGTTAGCGTAATGGTTATGTCGATGGACTCCCATGTTGTCGACCATGGTTCTAGTCCTGAACCCAGTGGCTTAAACTCACGTCGGGCACGTGTGCGTGCATGCCCAAGATCCCGAGAGGAGAATGGAGGAGAAGGGACTGCGGCGTGGCCATCGCCCCTTGGCGTGGCCATCCCCCCTGGGGGGTGATTTCTCGCTTTCTGTCTCTTTGTCTCTCTCTGTTTTTCTGGCAAGCACACGTGCCCTATAGCAAAAACCTCTCAAAAAA